CACAGAACCAAAATTATCCTGCGAAACCCCTTCGCCCCAGCTGTGAGATGAGCTCATCAGAACCGCCATGCTCCACATCACGCCTTCTCACGGGCGCAAAAAGCGATTCGTGCTGGTTTCGACCTGATTTCTCGCGATGCTGGCTACCTCGGCGATGCCGAGGACATACAGCTTGAGCAACAGCTCATTCGAAAGCTGCTGTAAACACCTACAGCACTGCCAACTTTTTTGGGGGGAGTTGCAAAGGCGTGGTTTGCTTTCTAAAAACAAAGACCCATTCTCATTTTTGGATACGTTCCCATCTTTCCCGTAAGTAACAACATATTCGCCTGATTGAGAGCGTAGCATCTGATTGAGAGCGAGATTGCGCGATACGCTGTAGCCGGACTACCACTGAGAGGTGGAGCTTGCTGTGTAGCTTGAATTGAAGGGCTAGCCCGTAGCTTCAAGCCGCTACCCTGGTCATCCTGTGGGAGTCTCTCGTTGTGGAGCTACAGCGGGGAGCAGAAGCTACAGCAGAGCCCACCGCCCGACGCGATACCGCCCTGAAACAGTTTGAGCAGAAATAGCCAATCTGGGCAAATCTAGCAACTTGTCTAGCTCCTCGCTGCAGCATCCGATGACGATGACACGCATATGCTCGCGAAGCTGCTGATGAGACCTTCAATTTGCACCGCTTCTTGGAATAGCCCGTCCCCTACTTGCCAAGAAATGGCAAGAGGCGTCTGGACCCGAAATTTCAATTTTTTTGGCTCTCGCTCTCAATCAGATACTTCGCTCTCAATCAGGCGAATATGTTGTTAAGTCTGTTCTGAACTATTCTTGCCAAAATGTGCGAAATATTCTTTTCACACACGTGGCCAACGCTTCGTACGGGCGACAAAACCGCTTAAAGGGAGGACCAATATCATATATCACAGGAGGGACGAACAGTTCACAACGGCTTTCGTTTCTAGAATAGTTTGTTGCGAAACAATCCGAAGTTTTTGTGGTCCCAAAATTCATAATCCTGCCGAGAGGAAAACGAAGAGGTCACCAGGCCCAAAAAGCTATATACTCAACTCTAAAGGTACATGATACCCAGCTTGCGGATACCGTTGACCTTTTCACTCCTCCGAATTGTTCTGTAATCTAGGTCGAGCCCGGCTCCCGCCCCCCCCAGCTCACCACCACTTCATTCCCTTTTTAGTATCCAAAGACACAACTCTTGTCTTCATCGGGATGCCCTTTTCCGAAGCTGCTCTTCGGTGGTTCCAGCCGGTGGCTGTTAAGCAGCAGCAAATCGTCTCGTCGTCACCCAGTCCAGTGCACACCGCGTCCTCAACCGACAGCGAGAATGTCGATCCACACCCGCCCGCCGCGTCGAAGAAGAGAAGGCACGTCTCCGAGGTGGTCAGTAGAAGAGCAGAAAAAATCCTTCGTCCCGCCCGATACACCGGCCATGCATCGTGAAGGGAGGCGAAGCAAGCACTCTTTCTCCTCATCGTCTCTCCCCAAGATATACATATATATATATATATATATACGCGCATGCATGTTAAAAAATAGTTGGATGTTGTTTTCTTTTTGTTAATGCCACCACCGAGTGCTCATACATACGTGTGATAGCAGTACCGTATGAATGTCCCGGGAAAGGCGATTTTTTGGTGGTGGTGCATGGATATTCGTCGGTATTGGACATTTGGGAGAAGCATGGGAGAACGCGTCTAAAACCGACAGCAAGACCCCTACTTTTGAAATCACAGCGACACACACAGCCCCAACTCGCTCACACAGCCCTCACACAAGGACCGCTGTAGCACAGCAGCCGCACAGCAGTCCCGAGGCAGAAGGCAGGCGCGCAGCGTAGCAGTAGCCAACGGATGTGTAAGCAGCAACAGCAGTATGTAGCACGAGAGCAGCCGCTGCGAGACAGGCTGTGCGCCAGCGTGCCTAAAGGAACCCTGAGGCAGGCTTGTGGTGCTGACCTTGCTGTATATATATGCTGTCAAGGTTGCCGCTGGTTGAGGTGGATCGGACATGATAGTAGTGTACAACATGCCGTTGACACTTTTTCGAGTTCTTTTGCGATCTTTCACCGCACCCATACAGAGGAATCTGTTCGTGTGTTTGGATACGGACAGGTATTGATCGACCGCAGTAACGGATATATTCGCAGATAGGAACGTAGACATACCATTTTGGGGTTCTTGTGTTTGTGACCCCTGCTTCTCTGTTTTCCGGAAGCACTCTTCTTCTTCTCTTCTCTTGCTTCTGCGTTCTAATACAAGCGATATTCAGTCTCTCCCAAGTCGCGGACATATACAACACACTAGTGATCCATCCCTCGAGGGAGTCCATTCGGAAAATGGAGAGCCATGGAGACGGGAGCGAAAATGCTCCCGGTGGTGATCCTGGTGGGAGACCAGATGAGGTTGAGATGCTACGAGGCAAGGTAGCCTCGTTGGAAGCATCGCTGGACAGCAAGTTTGACGGCATGATGGCCATGATGTCGAAGCTGTTGGCCAAAGGAGAAGGGTCAGGCAGCAGCACGGAGGGTGCTGCCTGCTGGCAGCGGCGCCATGGAGGGCGCCGCAGCTACTGCGGAAGTCCGATGACCGGTGTTTATCAACAACCGGTGACGCACGCGAGCGGTGTGTACGAATACCCACCCCAACAGCAGCAGCCAAAGTACCTATCCCCCCCCGTCCAACAGCAGCAGCCAGTCCCCGCCCCTTACGCCTCTCCCGCGCCTTCGACCGGAGCACCTTCGTCGGCAGGGGGGATTTGCATGCGTGTGTTGTAAGGGACATGTCAAGTGAGTACCAGAGTGAGATTTCGAGTGGATTCGTAGGGGGTGAGGGGTATGCGTTGATGAACTCTATACCGGTTGTGAGGGCGGAGCGTGTAGGAGTTGAAGAATGGCTTGCAGACTCCGGTGCGACTAACCACACCACCGGAGACCCCACGAACATGTACGATGTGATCATCACGCCCCTTGGTACCGAGAGAGTGCAGATTGGTGATGGTAGGACGATGCGAGTGCTTGGAATCGGATGTTTAAACGTGAGGTTCATCTTGGATGAAGAGACTTTTGCGTGAAGCTTACCCAAGTACGTCATGTTCAATCGTTTCTCCCTCCACCAAGCACAAGGATTGCAACGTTTTGCCTTGGACGACGTAGGCACCCATCTTTTCCTTGGCCAGTTGACCTTTCCCCGTGGCGAGAGGGGTTCGTCACTTTGGGCCACTCGCTTGCCGCCCAACTATGAAACGCCCACCGCTGTGCCTGTGATGCTTTTTCCCCCGGTGCCCCCTCCCCGCGCTGCTGGTGTACGTTTACATGCCAATGATGGTAGAGTGATGTCAGAAACCCCACCGGTGTTTTCCCCCCCTTCGGGTGTAGCATACGTTCCTTCCGCAGTGTCAGGTGTCCCGCCCGCTGAAAGCAGCGTAGTGCCTCCGGTGATGTCTGTACCTCAAACCGCTCCCAGGAGTGTTGTTCAACCCACCGTGTCGAATTTTCCGCCCGCTGCTGCCGGCGTCGT